GTTCGAGGCCTGACGGCAACAACAATAGGAAAAGCAACAATAACAACAACAATAATCATAACAAATAAATATATAAATAATAAACAAATAAAGAATACATTCATAAATAAAGACATAAATAAATAAAGAATAACAAATAAAAAATACATAAATAAAGAATAAAGAAATGAATAATAAATAAATAAAGAATAAATAAATAAATGAGCAAATAAATACAGAAAGAAATAAACAATTGTTTCCTGTGTATTGTACTTTTTTCTTCCCCTCCATCTTTCATCTGTCTCTGATTGTTTCTCATCAGTGGCTGGTGACAAATACAGCAGAATACAAAGTTGCAAAGTGCAGATAGAGCCCCAGGCAGCGTTAACCCCTTCCTGTCCTGGCACTCATGGCCCCAGTGGTGGCCCCAGTGGACTTACTTGGCGTTTGGAAGAGGTGGCCAGCTCGGTTGCTTGTGCAGCAGCTCCAACAAGTTCTCTGGTGTGCGGTGACACAGTGATAGGCAGCACCTTGCCTGGCAGCCCGGCCTTTATACCCGGACCGGGGAAAACAATGTCATTGTTCAGGACAGGGGGCGCTGGCGGCCAATCAGGGACGGAGGGGGGCGTGGCTTTCCCGGGGGCTGAATGAGAGGCGCGAGCCGGGCAGCGCCCCCAGCTTTGTGCCCGGGCGGCGTCCAATGACAGCGGTGCGGAGGGAAGTCGGAGCTCCTCTGCATGACAATGACAGGGAGTTGTTTTTTTTTTGAAAAGCAACATTGTATGTCGGAAGACGGCACTCCGCCACCACCGGCGGGGCCATCAGTACAAGAGCTTAATAGATTGTGCAAACAGCAGCCTGTGTGTGCCCAAGAGCAAACACTCACCGGGCACAATGCGCCCTCACTGCTCCGACTGCGACAGGATGGGGGACACCGACCATGTCCAGCCAATCTCAGGCAATCCGATCGCCGGGATTTATGGGGAGGAAGTAGGATGGAGGGCTGAAGATGTGGTCGCCTGTGCAGATCTCACGTGTGATGATAGTTATGTAGATACAGAACAATGTCATTTTATATTTTTATGTTTAAAACAAAGTCGGCGACCTGAAGCAATGATCTGATGATGGTAAACCCGACACTCCCGGTCTATTCACTTATTGGGGAAGCACTAAACACTGATGTGTCCCTTTATGTGCCGGGTCTAGGCATGGAGCGGGGAGGGCACGGTGCTGATGGGACACCTGTCAGAGAGAGGGACTGATAGGACATCTAATACAGAGGGGGACTGATGGGACACCTAATACCGAGGGGGGCTGATAGGACACCTAATACAGAGAGGGACTGATGGGACACCTAATACAGAGAGGGACTGGTGGGACACCTAATACCGAGGGGGGCTGATAGGACACCTAATACAGAGAGGGACTGATGGGACACCTAATACAGAGAGGGATTGGTGGGACACCTAATACAGTGAGGGACTGATGGGACATCTAATAAAGAGAGGGACTGGTACTGATGGGACACCTGGCAAAAAGAGGGACTGATGGGACAGCCAATACAGAGAGGGACTGATGGGACACCTGGCAGAGAGAGGGACTGATGGGACACCTGGCAGAGAGAGGGACTGATGGGACACCTAATACAGAGAGAGACTGATGTGACACATGGCCTATAGGGACTGATAGGACATCTAATACAGAGAGGGACTGATGGGACACATGTCATAGGAACTGATGGGACAAATAGCTTAGAGAGGGGCTGATGGGACACCTGGCATAGAAAGGGACTGATGGGACACATGGCATAGAGAGGAACTCATGGGACACCTAATACAGAGAGGGACTGATGGGACACATGGCTTAGAGAGGGACTGATGGGACACCTAATACAGAAAGGGACTGATGGGACACATGGCATATAGAGGGACTGATGGAACACGTGACATACAGAGGGACTCATGGGACACCTAATACAGAGAGGGACTGATGAGACACATGGCATAGAGAGGGACTGATGGGACATCTAATACAGAAAGGGACTGATGGGACACATGGCATATAGAGGGACTGATGGGACACCTGGCATAGAGAGGAACTAATGGGACACCTAATACAGAGAGCTAGGGACTGATGAAACACGTGTCTTAGAGATGGACTTATGGGGCACTTGGCATAGAGAGGAACTGATGGGATATATAATACAGAGAGAGGAAACTGTAGGGACAACAGAGCAGAGCGCTGACTGATGGGACACCTGGCATATAGGGACTGATGGGACACTTAATACAGAGAGGGACTTAGAACTGATGGGGCACTTGAGAAGGACAGTTGTGACAACTGTCACAGAGAGGGACTGATGGGATGACATAGAGAGGGACTGATGGAACACCTGACATAGAGAGGGACTGATGGAACACCTGACATAGAGAGGGACTGATGGCACACCTGACATAGAGAGGGACTGATGGAACACCTGACATAGAGGGCTGATGGATTACCTGACACATGAGGCATTGATGGGATATCTGACATAGAGAGGGACTAATAGGACCCTTGACATACAGAAGGACTGATCAGAGACGGACTGGTGGAATACCTCAAAGGGGGGATGATAAGATAGGGATGAATAAGACTGAATGAGGGTGGAAGGCAGTTCCATTCCTCCGTCTCTTCTGCTTTTTCCATGCATGAGATGGATAAAACCGATCCTCTAATAAGTATTTAATAACAGCCGTCATGATATTGGGAGCCATAAGAACATAAGAAGGGATTAATTGTATTCACTACCGAATTAAATATATGAGAATGACATAGATTAAAGGGGGAGGAATTACATGAGCTGATTAGCAAATTCGCAGATAATTATATAGTTATAAGCAGATAATTCTTAAAACTTTCTGATTGGAAGAGCTCATCAGGGACTGTATGTGAGAGAGTCCTCAGACATGTTCAATGACTACCACTCACTTTCTTTCTTTCTTTCTTTCTTTCTTTCTTTCTTTCTTTCTTTCTTTCTTTCTTTCTTCCTTTCTCCTAAAAAATAATACAGTCATTGTGTATGCTGATTTTATATATACAACATTATATATATATTTGTTTGTATAATACAGTATATAAATAGACAGCTTTAATTATGTAACAAATAAATATGGACACAAACAGCAAAAATAAAAATGTAACATTTATTATTATTATTATATTTTTATGTATCTTCTGAATCGGAAATATGTCATGTCAGATCCATCATGTCCCCCCTCTCCCCCAGTGATCCTTGTGCAGGGGTGAAGCGGGGGATCAGCCTGAGAATGATCTCAGCAGTGGGTATCAGTGGTGACCCAGGCGGGTGTTGTGGTGCCTCTGCCCCGTTCTTGGGGTGAGCTGCCATAGAGATCTGTGACCACGATATGGAAGTCCTGCTGGAACTAACCGTTCATAGGGAGACCTCAGAGCACAGACCCGGTTGTCACTTGTTTCCATCCGTTTAACTTGTAGAGAGCAAACCCGACACCACCACCTCCAGTGCGATATGTCGCCCTGTGTGGGAGGACATAACATTCTGACACTGGAGTCTCATGGACAGACAATCACACATTGCCAGCGCTGCCATGTAATATGAATGACGGGGCACACCGGATGTATGTACAGACTTCCCATAATAATCATACTTCTGCCCTGCTGGGTGAATGTTATCATAATCTATTATCTGTTAATCTGTTCGTTTTTATTCACCCAAACAGAACTTGTAAGTGAATCTGTGTGATTGTAAAGGCTGCTAATCAGCACTTTTATTACCGATTACTTGAAATAATTTCCCAACTTCATTTACATGATACAATCTTATTCCAGCGACTACCGCGCTGATTTTGCAAGTGAGGTTTTGGGAGTTTTTAATTGCGTTTCAGCTCTGAAACGCAATTAAAAACGCCCACAACCGCACTGATCAGCGCTGTTCCATTGAAACCTGTATGGAAACCGCACTGATCAGCGCGGCAAAAATAGTTCAGGGAGCAGTTTGGGCGGGGGGCAGTTCGGATCAAGTGGCCTCCCGCGGTCCCATTAACGGTCCCTTAGCAATGTATGGGATCGTCATTTCGCGGATCCGTGCGGCCGCCCCTGTGTGAACGTGCTCTCAGAAAGGAAGCCCCATGGAA